AGTTCGCTGCCTCAACGACGAGGAGAGTTGAGATGGTTCAGCCTCAGTGGTGGCCGCGATGGCATTGGTTTAGTGTCGGAGAGTTATTCGAACTCGTTCAGCTAGAGATCAGCTTGTCAACGATCGTTTGCGACAGTTTTACGTCACTATAAGCAGCTGTGCGGAGGTGCAGCCAGAACAGTATATAAATAATCTAACCATTATCAACGCCTAGGTCGATCGAGTCTACAGTAGACCTGCAGTAACGTAGATGAAGCTCAATCAACAGGAGGAGGAGGCTATTTAAATACTATATCATCTCATTACTTATATAGGCTCTAACTGTGATTAAGACATCATCAATAAAAAATTCTAGGTAGGCCATCCACCAAGAGTGCCCCCTCAGCTACGCCACTACAGTGGACGATGTGACAGAAAATCCGTACAACGTCATCATATCACCTCTGTCGTCACGTCCGATAAGTTGGTCCACCCACTTTGGCGTAGTGGCTCAAAAACATTTTCACCAATATTTTAAGAGTTATAATTACGCGAGAATTTGTGAGTTCACATTCAGAATTTGCAGTGACTTAGCCGTTTATGAGCTATACAGACGAAATAAGAATGGGGGGTTCAACTCTGAGAAGTTGCCTCCCGATGTCGTTCTAATATTTCATAATTTATACCACAGGATTCGTCGAGATTCGCTTTAATTCAGGAGCCAATTTTTTCAAAATGTGTGGGTCCAGTCCGGTTCATATAACCACAAATCCCACTTTTGATCGCAAAGTCTGCTCACTTATGTTATCCTTTGACTTTGAATTTTTTATCATACGATACCGTGTTATTTCCTAGCCCACACTTTCAGAATTTGCTAAATACCGCTATTATTCTCATCAAACCCATTTTCGTAATTCTTCACCAGAATTGAAATTGGAATATTTGCACAATTTCTTTTTTGTCATTATTTTGTGGTTATTTAGTTATTATACGTTATTTTTGCACCATAGCCTTGGATTTCGCAAAAACAAAACGTTTTTACACTTGGTGGATTTGGCAAATATACCGCGTATACGCGAAAATAAGTCACAATAAATTTTGCACCCACGAAAACTAAAAACTGCAGTTGGTGTGTCCAATACGGCAAGCTTGTGCCTGTTCTCGATACAGGTGCAATGTCGAATTGCACCGACGTTGCTGTTCCACATAAAATAATAAGTCGATTTACAGCTGCAGCTGGCCTTCGATCAACTGTGACCGGAACACTGTGACGACAAAGGTGCAAACCTCTGTGGAAATCACAGGGATTAATCGGATATTATTGTTTCCAAGCAAACAAATCACGCTACCAACGAACGTCGTGACGACCACAAATCCCAAATTAAGTTAAATCGGTTATTCGATATCACTATACTATATTATATCAGATATGAAATCCTGAAGTCGGGAAGTACTTTACCACACTATAATACACACCGGATATGATAGACTGTAGACGGTTACTGCAATGTATTCCACGTATACCTAGAATCTATCGATAGGAACAGTGGCGCGCCTGGGGTGGTACTAAGGGTTATATCCACTCGCCCCCTCCCCCCATTATCCGATAAATCCTCTTATTTGTGCCTTTGTTACTATACCTCCACGATTCATTTAAATTCATCATTAGTTATAACATCTTTCCATTGAAAATTCCTGGGTGCTTCACTGGGTAGGAACCTCTGAAGAGGTGGTTATGTAGGCACTCGAATGGAATTTTAGATACGCTCAAGCTCACCATATCGATCGGTTGAATGTTTGTCGAAAGCAAGACCCACAAATCACAATGCAGCGGTTTCGATTCGATGTCGTTTTTATACTATACATTTTTCAAAAGTTGTTTTTATTTTTAAAATCAAAGTATATTAGTTTATGTACTTTTAAACATGACATGCAATTGATAAATATTGTTTTAGTATTAATAATATTATTCTATAGGTATATTTGAATGTAAATCTTTTGTCATCTACTCATTTCTATGGCGGAGTTGACGCTGTTTTTAATAAAATACATTTGACAACCAAAATATTTTATTTCAACAGCCAGTTAAGTCGAATAAATCAAAAATCATACCTGTAATTTTAATAGCACGTATGACTTCCAGCTTTTACACTCATCGTTACCGATCGACATATTGTTATAATTCGAAAATCGTTTTCACCAAATCGCTACAAATAATATATTACAATCATCGGGTTCCGAATTATAATAACACAAAGTACGTATTTTTTTATTCGAAGATTGACTGATATTTTCATGACACGCGTCGTAGTTTAACTGTCTAGCGGACACTCGAATTAATATTAATGAGCCGAAACCTTCCCCGATAAATAATATGATGTGTGTCTGAACCCTTGTCACAGGGTGAAAAAAAGAAAACATGACAGACGCGCGTATTTCGACGACGACGATGATAATAATAAAAAAACTGTCGTTGTCACCGTTGGGACTGCTGTTGCACACTGGTAGTCGTCGTGAGTGAGGTAGTTCACCGTATTATTATTGCTCGTGACATTTCAGATATAAAATTATTATTATTTAATTTCAGAGCAGTCGTGTGCGATTTATTTCGTTACATATTATAATAATAATATAACGTTGTTAGAGGTATATATTGTAGGCCCCCGGCCGCGTTTAGTTCGACAAACGAAATTTCCTATGAAGACCTTCATGGCTTCATCATAGCTAACTGTAACAATTGTCTCATAACAATTATTTATGAATTGTTTGAAAAAAAGACATAAAATCTGTCTTTTATTATAGCTATTATGTTTTGCATCAGAAAAACTGACCGTTTACTTATTTAATAATACTTTCCAGTGTTCAATTTCAAAAAAATAGGTGTATGCTCAAAAAAAAGTAAAAAGGAAGGGGACCTGGTCCGCCTGTGTCCCATAAAAATCAATCACTTCCTCCGTTTTATATTTTAATCTTGGATTTATAGATATATTCTTATTTTTGGAACTTTCAAATGTATTTAAAGACCACTGCATATTTTTCAAACACTACTTACTTGTATAATTATTACTTGTTAGTTTTTTTTATTTGAATAATTGTGCGTTATTCAGTAGCGCCGCTATAAAGACTTCTTTCTCTTTAAGACTCGTACGTACTTCCCCCTCATTAATGTATTCATTTCTTCTAAATATTATTAAGTAGATATATATTTTTTTACCGAAGTACCTGCAGCGGCAGCGTTCAGACATGTCAGATTTTGAAGTTCCGCAAAAGTCCTTCACGATTTTTTTTTTAAACTGTCCGTCATCTTTCAGAACGTTATTAGAAAAACAGATTTTTCGTAGAATCGGATGTTCATAATTACTATTATATAATTATTAATAATCGGTTAGCCGAGTCTATAGTTAGATAAGTTCGTTGCCTGTCGGTCGGAATCGAAAAACGGGATCTCAGTAAGTAGAGGTGCCTACCTATATACAAGTTTTTATTTACGTATCTATATCATAGAGTGAGAATATGTAGGTACGCACTACACATTCGAATATAATATGGGCTGAATTAATATGCACAACATCATTAAATAGGTGTATAATTAGTATCGGATTGGGACTTGGAATGTCCGACGGAACGACTTCAAACTATAATTTAGGTACGTAGTACGTACCTCATATTATGTTGTAGGCGTACGCTCTTGGAGTTAATTAAAACACAAATAATATTGTTGCGAGTGCGCATATTATTATAATATTATATTTTATATGGTTATAGCTGGTAGGTACTTAGTAAAACTGTGTGCACGCCTGAACCACTGCTGCGGCAATCAAATCGATTTGAAATGTCGTGTGCCAGATTATTGGATCTGCGTTATAGGTACCAGCTATATGTGATGTAGATACATGATCGTTGCAGGATTGTAGCTATAGCATATGACGACGGCTCTGTGTCAGGATAATGTTAATTAGGTATAAGGTCATCGGTGTGCATATATATAGACGCCGTCATCGTTCGCTGCAAGTGGTGCATTTCTTCTCCGAAATATTTTACTAAACCCGCTCCATCGACTCATCAACAATTTATAATAAATTGTATTTTATGTTTGTTCCTGTAGCCAAACAACAGTTGTTTGACAATTAGACATTCTAAAATTATTGTGAAAAAAAATATGATTTACATAAATCGTGTATTTTTTTTTTTTTTTGGTAGGGTGCAATTACAATACGTGATTCGGCCTTTAAAGTTCCTAGATCAGTTTAAGGCTGCCACAGGTTAGACGGTGGCGCATGTGAAACGGTCTACTCAATAGCAGGTGTTATCAGCGGCTTAACCAGGGATTGAGCGTTGTCGTGACATATTTATGAAAAAACTATGTCTAATACATGTGATTCGGGTGTCTACACAAAAAATGTTTTCATATAAGTTCTATTTTATATTGGTACTTAACAATGGAGATTGTGTGCATCCCTCAACTAGTGTTATTTATATTTCAAATTAAGCCCTCCCCCCTTAAAAAAACCCCGGCTGAGCGTTTGGCCCGTTTGGGTGTAAGTAGGTACCTAAACTACATGACCATTAGTAAGAGTGATTTTATATGATATTAGTATATTCAATAAAAATATCTACATCACTCAGCGGTTGACTTTTCTTTAATATCGCAAATGGCACCGATAAAAAAGAAAAACAGGATTACTGTCGCATGTCACACACAAATATTATAGTCCTTGAAAATAAAATTACGACTTTACGTATTGTAATTTGTAGTGCTTAAAGCCGTTGTCAAATTTCAAACGACCCTGCATGATTTTTGACCATCACAATATCATTATTATTTTTCTAGATTATTAAGTTGACGCGAACGATGTGTCATTGCACTTCACCTGTCTTCACAGCAGGCAATCATCGTGTGCATTCTTGTAAAAATCTAAAAGATGACGATTCTGTCGATTTTGGTTCAAGAACATGATTTACACATCATAATATAGGAAACCAAAATATTGAATTGGTGTTGTTGAAATAAAACACAGACGGATTAAAAAACACATTCATTTATTGGTTTTCCAAACATAAATAATTTACTTTATTATTCACAATTAATCTGTAAATTAGGCAAGTACTTACAAAATTATTACAACCGCAATATCATGTTGTTATACACGAGTGGAGTACATAACACATTACCACGTCAATTAAACATATAATACATAACAAACATTTTGTCTGTGCACACTTTTTGTGTACATATATTACATAGGTATATGATTAAAATACACGCACAACATATTATATATCATATATTATATACATATACTATCGTGGAAGACACACGCGCGTGTACCTAAATAATATATGGTGCACACATAGACGCAACCTAGGGGTTGGGCAAGGGGGAGGCTACTACCTCCCAGATATTTTACCGAGACGCGGCAATAGTTTATACTTTTGTCTGATGGATTTCCAGTTTTCTACAGTCTACCCCCCCCCCCCCCAAATGTACCCCAAGTCGAGCCAATGTTGTGTACGCTTTATTATATATAGGTACCCGTAGATTTACAGTAAGAGAAATACAAACGTCGTGTAATACGAGTATATTATTAAGGTTTAGTGTTGGGCAGTTTCAAGGCGGATTTAGGATTTGCACCCTGTACAGCATATTTTGATCGAGGGACGACTGACGGGGTCATATTAATCACTAAACCGACTTATTGACATTTATCATATAAAACAATGTTCGAAAGACATCACAGATGACTATGATATCAATACCGTCATGGTAAATGCCGTGGCACTTAGAACTCGTAACTCGTCTCCTTTTGCTATTTGCAGAACAGTAGAACTATTGTTTTTTTTTTTTTTATATAAACACGTAAGGTTGTATGCAATTTATATTTCACTATTGTATGACGCAGTTCTTGTCGTCCACCGATTGCTGTTGCTGCTGCACGTTCTGTTGCGACTGACCACCGGCCGCGGTCCTCCTGCCGGGCGACCGGTGAGCGGTGGCCTGTTGCTTGGCGTATGCTATGGCGTCGTTGGGCACGTACGAGATTCTGGCCGCAGCGCCGGCTCCCGGGCCGTAAGGACGGCGAGCCGGTAACCGGTACACGGACAGATCGTCGAGCTCGCTGTCCGAACTGGACGAACACGTAGAACAGCAACCGTGCTCGGCGGAGGAATCGTTACCGTTGTCGTTACCGTGTGGTGGAGGCAATGGCGGAACTGGCCTGCTATTCCGGCTCCGGCTCCGACTCCGGTTGTTCCTGCCTTCCCGTCGTCGGCGTCTGGTGCGTCCGGAAGCTGGTGGGTCTGTTGACGACAACGCGGTGCCGTCAAAACGGACGGACCTTCGGCCGCCGGAGGTCGTGGCCACCGTCTCGGGCGTGGACGATGACGATGAAGCGCGACGTGGCTGCGATGGCGCCTCAACGATGGCGGCGGGTGGTGGCACGGCGCCGGCCAGTCTCCGGTCGACCACGGGCCGGCGGCTCGAAGATGACGAGGACGGCGGAGATGGTTCCACGGCGGCAGCCGTGGCAGTGGCGGCGGCCGCGGTGGTGAGTTTTTCAAATTCGTTCAGCAGCCGGTCGGTGATCTCATCGTCAGAGATGAGCTTCTCCAGGAACCTCTGCGGCAGTTTTCCGTTGCTGAGCAGCCGTTGCAACTCGTAAAGAGTGTCGTCCAACCGGCCGCCGTCCGTCCGGTCGACGGCGACTACAGCCGACGACGCAGCCGCAAACCCGTGGCCACGAGGTCTGCCACCGTCGTCGTCGTCGGTGGCCAACTCACCGTCACCACCGTCGTCCCTGTCCAACACGGTGAGCACTCGCCTGGACTCTACCACGGCGATGTCGTTGCGACGCCGCCGCTGTCGCACGTCCAGGTCGGACGGCCGGGCGGCCACGGCGTTCGGTCGGCCAGCGTGCGGTGACAGTATGCCGTCGCCTGCTGCCCGCTGTTGCATGTGGCGCGTCGGCGACGGGGACGACGCGCCGCTGTTGTTTGCGTTCTGCAAAGCTCTACGACCCATCAACGGTGACCGGCACGCCGATTGTTGTGACGGAGAAGGCGACCTGCGGAAATCAAAGAGATTAATGTCGTCATATACGCATACGAGTGTTACTAGAGTCAACATTTATCGGGGTGGCAAAAAATTATCTACAAAAAATTTGCATTTGGTTTATTTTCAGCGCTCGCTAATATCTGTAGTCCTTTACTAAACACTTTCGATAATAAATATACAGCTAATTTAATTTGCCATTATAGAACGTTTTCGATAGGTATTTAATAACATTATTTTTTGTTTTAAAATTACATGCAAACAAAAATGTACATTTTGTTTATAACTGGACGTAAAGTAGATACCTACTAATAACAACAATTGTAATATATAGCGATCTTATTAAAAAATAATTCAAATTGTTACAAGTTATACCGGATAGTATCTGGACTGACCTTATTATTCGAAATTTACAGGCTATACTTATTTCAATTCCGTTTAGTTTGTTCTTTTCGGGATAACAACCCATACCCTTTAATGACGCCTATATGATATATAGTTGAATGCAATGATATTTGTCACATAGAAAATCGTGAACGCTTCACGAGCCTCAATGACAGTGGACATTCGGGTCATTCGGGATATTTGCCTATTATCGCTGTGAGAATCAATGAGCTGAACAGAAATTTGCCATATAGTTATGATTCGTGAAGTGCTGCTGTACTACTTTATAATAAATAAATCGAATATCTTGTGTCGAATTAAATTAGTTTTCATTAGGTATTGTAAGTGAATAGAGCAAAACGTAATCATATTTTATAAGAGTGTATCCATTGTCGGGAAATATCCGGTATAGACTTTTTTAGTGCAATTTTATACTGATAATGACTTTTGGCGAACAGGGTTAAAGGTCACGGATTGAGGCGGGAAGGTAGAGGTCGACGATATATAACTTGACCCCTGCACGTATAATGTCAGTTCTTGTATAACTAAAAAATATATTGCTATACGAAATTGAGAAAACTTTTCCGTTATGGCGTGTATCTTTTAAACATATTATTATATATTATGGATATTTTTGATTTCTCAAATTTTCACTCCAAAAGGTAGTAACTAGTATTAACCGTTAGGTTTACAAGCGATTTTGGCGATAGCCCTTTTGAACATTATTACAGAGACCTCCAAAAAAAATTTGTATCATTATTAAGTAATTATTTTATAGCTTGTTTGATATCAGGTCATTTGGACGATTTGTGGTTAATATCTTTTGAAATAGGTATGGTATAAACATCAGATTTTAATATTGTCTATTTTTAAAGATTTTAAGAATTTATCTGCCTATTTAAATTTTATTCGAAACATTTTAAGCTCCACCCCTCCCATTAAATTCGGTATAAAAATCCACCTGATGGTAAGTGTCAATTTATATACCGTTGTCCTTCTCAGTCGGAGTCGATTAAATCATATTAAGTATTATAATATGTTATGAGCTACCTACATTTAGGCATAGGTAAAGTATTATAATATATATTATATTTTTCGATTTTTTTCTTCTTATTCTTTCATCACACGAAATTCTCCTCCTCGGAGAACGCCGGTTCAATTATACAAATTAAACGGGACTCGAAACTTTCCAGATGGCTTTCCGATGAGATGTGTCTCGATTTGGGGGACGAGTCGGTCGCGCGATTGGGCGGCGGAAGCGATGACGAGCGCGCCCGGCAAGTTATCGGAGTGACGTTTTTATTTTTTTCCTCTCCGTCCTACGGGCGAGCACACATGTGTTACACGTCTAAACTTTCTCCGGGAATTTTTCATCTATTTGAGTGTTTGAGGGTACATGGCGACAAAAGTCAAAACTAATTACCCAAGTGTGGCGGTGGTCAGCGAACCACACATTGTACGGCCAGCTTTCAACTCAGATAATATTATATTTCAATCAGTTTATGACTTTCAGAGAACCGCAAACGCGTGGTTTCTCAGGAAGTGTTATATAACTACCCATATGGTATAGTTTATGTTTTTCCAGTGGTTTTTATAACTCTCACCCCCCCCTAGATTTTACCAAAATGTCTCGAACGGGGGCTAGTGACTTGTCTCTCATTTTTATACATTGATTGCTATAATTTGTAGCAGCAGGAGACGCGATAAGTGTATAGAACGATAATTGCCGACGAAAACGTTCGGTTGATCTCAAATAGCTGCAATTAAATTGACCTTTTGTTCTTCTTTGTTTCTCTAGAATGATATTAATCTAATGATGTGTAATTAGTATCATATAGGTACACATTATATTAAGACTGTAGCGCACAGCCACGAAATCTTATAAGCCCAGGATGCTACTATTGAAAAAAAAGGTTTTTTAAATCAAATTTATTTGTTACACGAAAACCATATTGTAATATCCTTTTTAAAATGTGCATTTTTGGGCCAAAAAAAATGCCCAAATATGCTATGATAAATATATTTAATGTATGTATATATAAAAAGAAAAATTATGACAAGGCAATGTGTAAAATTAAGTGAACATTCTACGCCAAGTTTAAGCAAAAGTGTACACGACCAACTTTTAAACTTTTTTCAATAGGCATTTAATTTTTAAAGTTCAAAATTTAAAAACAGAACATATAAGAGTGGTTCCACCGTGTATACCATTCACGTTCACAATTGACGACTAAACGTGATCTATGATTCGAAGTACCTAAATACCTACCAAGTAATTCCGTTGGCTATTTGTATTAAGATTTTTAATCTTCTCTATTTATAGGAACACTGTCTCATGCAAAATTGTAGTCTCATTTTAATCATTTTATGTTCTATTGCAGAGGTTCCCAAACTTTTTATTGTACGACCCATTTTGAAAATTTTTTAAAATATGGCGACCCACAATATCGATGAGAATGACCTTTTTTTTTTTTTTACCATACAACAGAAAATTAAACTATTTTATTAAATTTTATGTAATTACGAAAAAAAGTATAATAAGTTTAATATATAGTATTTGACTGGGCCGCTGGTAAACTCGTAATTGTCACACTCACAGATAAGGATTGACGATAAAACTGAATTTGAACTTTGAACATCAACGAAAAGTAATAGATGATTATATTTTTGTATTATTTAAAAAATTAGCGCGACCCACAGTTTGGGAACCTCTGTTCTATTGAAATGTAGGTACCTATCGTAAAATATTGACTGAATTACATATTGTTAAGATCTGTCATCATGCATAAAAAATACGAAATATGACATACAAATTGCAAAACATATATATATATAAATATGCGAAATACCAAAAAGGTTCACAAAGATATGCACTATAAAGAGTTTTGAATTCTTATTCACAGCGTCTCTGTCGTGAAAGTAAATCGCGTAGCATACAATATTATAATATTGTGCCGTCGACCGGAAAAAACATACATAAGCGAATACAAAAAAAAACCAAAGCCCTTCAGTAGACTAACGATACTGTCGCGGAGGAGGAGGAGGACGATAAAATCGTATTTAAAATACAAGGGAAACCTACGCGAATCCGCTGGTGGTTGCGGTCCGTCTTCCGCCGGCGGCCGGCGAGTCGGGCGCGGCGGCAACCGGTTGCAGCTGCAGCGTTTGCGCGGGCGTCGTCTGCGCCGTTTGCGCGGCGGCAGCGTCGGCCATTTCCGATTCGGGCCTTTGCGATGTCGTTGTCGTCGGGGGTTCGCCTTTGCTACAGGCGATCGAACAGAAGATGGCCCCCCGACGTGGCAAAAACGGTCTGCCGAGCAGCGACGACCGGCACGTGTGACAGCAGAAACACTGTTCTGTGGCATGCCAGTGTTGTCCTTCGTGACTCATTTGTCCTGTGAACATAAAAGTGTCGAAACTATAAATTATAATATTACCTTCGGGTACGAAATAAGCGCTTGTAAAACATAATGTGTATATTAGTAAACCAGATACCCGGTGGTCATGATTGTGTGATCGTGTATAATATCGTCTTTTGACTACATTTATACCCACACACCCACGCACCACGCAGTCCTACCCGACTTCAATTTTCTACCCGTCTTCAAATTGTGTAGGACGTTGTTTTCGGTGATTTTTTGTAAGATTCACCTCGAAATTTATTATTTCGATATTTTATGATACCTATAATATGATCATTGTATATTATTATATGAGATGCGGGATTACGAGAACGTCGAAAATTTGTATGAATATAAAATTATTTTATTACAACTTCCCCCATATAATATCTCTGTTAAGTCAACTGCGCATGCATTTTGGTATTTCATAGGCCAATTCGGATTTAACCACATCTAAAATAAGTTTCATAAGTCATAAATCACATTTCTATCGATTTGGGCAGTATTTATGGCTTTCTTAGAAACTTATTTTGCATATAGTTGTGCGTATTACTAAGTTGAAACATCGTTACATAAGATACCTGTGATTTAATAATAACGGGCGTACCTGTTTCCGCCCAAAGTTTATAAACCAAAAGGTACATTGTCAAAGCCATATATTACATTAATACATTTATAAGTTTGTATAATATATTTTGTATGTTCATTGTTCATGTAACGATCGTTTTTTGATGTAAACTCTTTTTTTCTACATTTATACATAGTAAAAATATTATGAAATTGTCCCCGACCGTATTAAAGTATAGCTTAAAATGATACACCACGGCTGCCAATTTTTGCGATATCCAATTCATATATTTATTGAACCTTATAGGAATAACCCAATACGGCCAAAACTTTTCATTGGTTCGATCATTGTAGAAATGCAATTAAATTGATTTTGTTGGTGAATTATTACAAATTAAACAAACGATTGAAAATCTATGCTTACTGTGCAACAATTAAAATATTATAAAGAGAAACTTATTAAGAGTTATATATAAACTTATAAAGAAAAGATTGGACTTTTTAACCGAATCCGGATCAACATTACTTGTGTAATCTGTCCGTACTCCAACAGGGCAACATCTTTCCACTCATTGGTGAATTTATTATATCTGCACTACAAGAGTTTATATGTTATAATATGTACAGTCATGGGCGCCCATAGGTAACATTTTAGGGGGGGTCAAAATAAAAAATTTCGGTAATAAGGTAATAATATTATTGTGGTAATATTTATTGAGCTACAAGTTCATAATATTTTTTTCCAGGGGGGGGGCAAGTGCCCTGTCTTGCCCCCCTCCCAATGGGCGCCCATGTGTACAGTTATGTAATTTTAAGCGAAATGTATAATATTATTCACACATAATACACACAATATTATTGTGTTGGGTCCATAACATACGACGTGTTGAAAGTCCGATCCATATAAATCATTTTCGGTAATTTAATTAACATGCATTGTCATTGTATATAGTAGGTATTTGACGTCGTTTAGTCGATTATTAGCGTTTTTTTATTTTTGTATCAACAATAATCATCATTATTATTTTCCGCACTCTGATCTGTGACCTCACCACTATAACATACAGGGTTATCAGCCGCATTTTTAAATTTTCAGTTTTCCCGGGTCAGATAAATGAGAAAATATTGCAAAATACACAATGTGTTTCTCTGCGTAATAATACACGTCATGGCTATACAACACAGTCTTGAAATCATATATTGGATACGAATGACAATAATATTGAAAAAAAACCGATAGCTTAAATTATCGTCAACCATTCTGCAGAATCTACTCTCTGTTACCTCATACACAACAATAGTTAACATCCATCTTTCAATGACAAATTTAACATTTAGAATTTCATCTTATTTTTTTATAATTATCAAAAAAGCAAAAATAATAAACGAATAAACGTTTTTTAAAGTTATGACTAAGATTTTTTTTTATTTGCACACCAACCTATGAATGGCCACGATTGGTCAATATATCTCTAGAATTTAATACCTTATATAATGGGCTACATATATTTAATAAAGCAAAACCGCATTTTGGTCTGATATAGCGATATCCTTATCACTAATTTTGGGCCGATAGCAACAAATTAACATTATACGGTCCAAGGGTAATAAATTATTTATGAATATACTAAAAAAAAATTCAAAACCCCTCATATTCTAAAGGCACGCCGCTGATTGTATATAATATGGGTACTGCGGTGGGGCGGCATTGCCGCTGATCGCGTGACGGGCGGTTATAATATATTGGTAATATATCATAATATTCATCTCGCCGCAGTAAACGAAAGAAAAAGTCGGAAAAAGTAAAAACCGTTTCGAAATCTAAAACGTGTAGACGCTCAAACGACGTCGATACCGGTTTGTCCGGCGCGCGTACAAGTCGTCGTAAAAAAAGGAAACCATGCAACGTTGACGGAATAAACGATAATACATAATGAACGTTTTTAATCTCGCGGCGGAGAGATAAAAATATAAAGACATGTAAAAAAAAAAGTATATTAAACACACAATAAAACGCATGGAGCACGGCTATTGTTTTGCAGTTTTGCTACAGTTTCATATACGCTGCGGCGGCAGTCATTATTAAATTACGTACAGAACAATATTAATGATAATAATAATACTGTGAACTGCTCATAGTATAACGATTTAATATAATATGTTACAATAATTAATTAGACTACAATATTGTATGTAAATTATGTATGCGCCTAAAATTAGTATATATATACAATATACATGTATATAGTCGCAAAGGTCCCATACAATACGCAGTGGCCCGGATTTAGGGTATTTGTCACCATGGTTAAACGTAATTTTGCCATGTATTATAATACCTTTTCTAAACAAAAAAAATATTGTCAACAATTTAATGTACACAATATAACTATACATAAAACCATAAATAAAAATAAAAAATAACATGATTTTTATCAACTTGGATAGAAGTTTTACTATAATAATCGTACATTAATACTTTTTAATACTATTAGCCATTATTTACCTATTAAATATGTACATAAATTATGTATTATTATTATTATTTTGTTTTTAGAATTCTAATTAATTTTTCTGGTTTTATTTTTGCGGAATTGTTAACCGCACCCGATAGTTTATTAAATGACACATTTTGTCTTGCAATTTCTTAGATTCTGAGCTTACCGCGGTTCTATAATATGTAGTATTGTAGTAAGACGTTCCAGTAGTACAGGTTTAAGATAGCGAATAGTAGATTAAAATAAATGAACACTGAGGTTCACAGTTTTTATGATTATTTTAAATTAAATTAAATATTTAAATCTTAAAGCGTCTGTCATTGAAGCGCCTGGCGTCCTGGCACTCGCGGGCAACAACCACCACCGCTTCCCCTCCCTAGACCCGGCACTGGCTATACGACCATTCGAAGACCACGGGTTCTTAGTCTATTTTGATGGTCCATTGAAAATCTACATCCCCTCGTAAAAAAGATAATTTTGTCTGAGAACCCCTTGTTTGAAAAGAGCACCGACGGCTGCAGAATATAATATTATGTATAGTATGGTAATATTGTTATATCACGATCATAATAATAATTATAATAATAATATCAATAATATGTACAATGCGATGTAGCAGTGCAACAGACGAGTATAATATTAAAACGCTGCGAGGATCCCATCCCGACAAAACGCTCGCGATTAACACTATATAATAATATCAATGGCGGTCGCGTTAATTGCCGTTCGTATCTCCCGTCTGGTTCGGTAGGTAGGTATTATAATGCTATAATAATGTGTATAATATTATTATTATAATGTGCACGGAAATGAAACGTTGATCTACGCGGCCGGAGCTATTCCGTTTTTGTTTTGTTTTCTCTGATGTCTAACCTGCTGCTGCGAAACGGGTTCGGCAGCGATGGGGTTTACGCTTTACGGCGGGGGTCATAAAATAGGAATAGTTTCGTTAAGCCCCAGCTCGGGTGCGGAACGAGACACACGATGTGTTATTATACGTTGAAAAAACACCGAACACCGGACGCTCGACAAATGTTTAGTTTGCGAGTGAAACGAGTGCGACGAAAAGTTCTCTAAATGATTATTACTGACTGCAGCTAAAATAGTAATAAAAGAAACCAAGACGCGAGCGGAAACGAAACGGTGTGGCAATGCAACCGTTAATGCAGTGGTAGCGAGAGAGAGGTGTAAACGATATATTTATTTTGTTTTTTACCATTGAAAACATAAAAACGTACGACTTGTATTCCCGGGAGTTCGCCTACTGCAAGATGATTAATTTTCTCATCCACGATAGTTCTTTTTTCGTGTTGAAATATTAATTGGTATGTAATAGGTATGTATAAGTGTTTCTGTTTAAATTCAGATTTTTACAACTTTTAAATTTATCCATAATAATAATAATAATAATAAGTATAATCATACCGGTTGGCAGTTATTTACTTGAAGATCATATTTTAAAATCTTTGATTTTTTACGGAATAACTACAATATATTATGTATAGGACGTGGCGATACAATCTAGGAGCAGACGACTTTAAAAAAAAATGTATGCATTTAAATTTAAATTTGAACAAGTATTATAGTTTCTGAGTTATTCTACGTAATGAGTATCATGGATAATAGTCTATTGAATATTTGAATGGAACATAAATAGGTATGGGTTGAGGATCTATACAGTTATAAGGTTGTACATATTAAGACTTAAAATAGATGTTAATCACTAATCAGTGATGTTAAGTTAGTCCATACTCTATAGTTTATGTTTTTTTTTAAATTATGTAGAATGCATATTATCTCCATAATATAGTTAGGTTCTAAACCCATAAGCATTTATTATTATTGATTGTACACAAGTATATTCAAAAGGCCATTATCCTTGGTACACAAAGTAGAATAACTCATAAACTATACTAATTTTTCGAATTTCGA